TGCTTAGAATAAATAAAAACAAGTAAGAGATTCTAGTCGGGAGTTCCCGACTAGGGGATACTCTGAACCCTCTTATTCCAACACCAAATAAATGAATAACAAGTAAGAGGTTCCAGCCGGAAGCTCCCGACTAGAGGATACCCTGAACCCTCTTCTTCCAACATCAAATGTATATATATATTCTATTTTAGAAGCTATATGTCAAGTTTGGTGACTCTAGCTCTTATTATTTACCAAAATTGCCCAAAAAACAGGATATCGATATCGATTTGTATTCAAAATTTCAAGTCTCTAGCTCTTATAGGCTCTGAGATCCTTGCGTTCATACATACGGACGGACGGACGGACAGACGGACAGACGGACATGGCTAGATCAACTCGGCTGTTGATGCTGATCAAGAATATATATGCTTTATGGGGTCGGAGATGCTTCCTTCTGCCTGTTACATACATTTGGATTTCGCACAAATACAATATACCCTTATACCCATTTTTAATGGGTTCAGGCTATAAAAATACAAATTTAAAGAAAAGAAAAATTCTAACAAATGATGTAAAATAAATGTCATTTAAAGTTCTACATATAGCTGGGTGCGTAGAACTTGCTGGCAGTAACAAAAATTATTTATAAATACAGATCGCATGAATTTTAATTGAGCTTGCCCACAATTGCTGGGCCTGGCTTGCGGATGGTCTGGAATGGGCTAGCATTGGCTCTGGCAAGCCATTGGACATATGAAATTTTGATTGATGGCTCCCCGAACAGCGAGTGCACTATGGCTTTATCTGACTATCGATTGTCGCTGTCATAAAAACGCTAAAAAAGAGGGAATCCAGAGCCGCGGGCTTATGCAAATCAAGACATGCCGCACACATCACTTTGTTTCCCTGTCGCCCCTTAACAAAGTCCGTCCTACGAACTTGTCAAAACTTGTTGTGCGCGTTTTTGCATAAAGAAAGTAGAGAGAAAAAATTGCCAGTGCATATTGCTTTCCGTTGTTTGGTAGCCCGGCACTCGCAGCACTTGCAACAGCCGAGTTGATTTTTGCATATTTCTGATAGCGTCGGCATTAGTCTCCAGTGAGCTGGCATATAAAAGCGCAGTTATGGACTGATTGTCGGCGCGCCAAACACGCACACACTATCTCATATTCTCTACTGCTCAAATTTTCCCAATTTTTATATATACATATGTGGCGGAAAGTGTCAGTATTTTGAACTTTTGCTCAATAAGATTTATATGACTGACAGTTTGGGGGATTCTAAACAAAAAGCGACAAGGTTTGATTTCTCTTATTTTTACAGACTATTGTTGAGCCGGCTTTGTCACTTTTTTGTTCTTCTATTTTAACAGATTTAAAGCTTGAAATCGCAGTCAGCGCGCAAATGGTCATGTTCATTGCTTTACAAATATATTTTGTGGAATTATTCTGCAAATATTTGTTCTTTAGTAGTTTGTTTAAGTGCGCAGTTTTTGTTATGTAAAAGGGATCTGAAAATAGCATAAGTACTAGGGTTAGATTTGTTTACGCTAACTGAAAAATGGGGAAAAATGAGGGTTGCAAGCAAACCTATGTGAATCGAATGAATGAAAACATGATTGCAGCCATATAATTCAGATATTTCACCTCTTATCTTGCATTTTGTTCTTTACTAGCCAACGTAAGAGTATTATCCATTGTTAACCAAGCTGATAAGTGTGTACTAATGGGATCCTATCTGCTATTCAGCGGGCTTTCTATTCAACTAGTTTGAACTTTGCCCAGCCATATACAACAATGCTAGATGGAGGCTGACTACCAATAGGGGCCTGGTGCCAGCACTGGGACGTAGGAAAACCACTCGAGCGGCAGATTTGAGTGGCAAGAGCGCAAAGCCCTCATTGTACAGCTTGTGAATGGGTATAGGTGTTGCTGTAGCTATAGGAATAGGTCTAAAATAATTGCCTGCACTTTAAGTGCGCCATTAGTACTAAATTACAGACAACCAACCAACCAGCCAACCAGGCAGCCAGCCAACCAGCAGCTGCAGCGCCAGCTAACTGCGCGGTCTAATTACGCGCCAATGCTGCAAAACGGGTAACTAGGAATTCACCTGCCACCCACACTATATTTAAACCCTACACTTCACGCTCCGGCCACGCCTACTTCTCGCGCATAGTGGCAGCTGGGAAAAAGTAAAGTGGCAATTAGAAGTTTACCGAGTGCAGTCAAAAATTGTAACGGCTGCCTGGCATAGCTGCATTATTGAACATTTTGCTAATTGCCGTATAATTATTGCAGTTAAAAAATTGAGCACAACTGCCCGCTAAGAGGCGACGGCAGACAACGGCAGCAGTTTCAAACACCAATCCTTGACCGTACAAGCAGTTATTGCGCACAATTTGCAAGAGCACACAGGCACGCACACACACACAGAATCAGACAGACCGACAAAATATATGCAGAGAAATTTGAGCAATGCCACAAACATTTGCATTGAACAAGGATTAGGCCAGATAGTTCTGGACACAACGCAATGGTTTAGTTCCATGCGAGCGTTATGCACTCACAGTGGCTACAGCTAATGTAAATATTATGGCAAAATCTTATAATTAAGATAAGCATTTCGGTTGAGTGGTTTTAATGAAATTCAAACATTTGCCATGCAAGGCGCAAGACACACTCAAACTCAAATGTCTGCCGGAGTATACAGCCTATCGATATTCTACTTTGTCCAAATGCCTGACCCTTGTCAAATTCGTTTGCCCGAGTCAATAGCAAAGACTCTCTGAACTGTTTTAATATTTAATTAATGCTCGACCTAATGATTTTCATTATGCTCAGTGGGCAACCGTTGGTCAATTCCATGGAACATGTACCATTAAATCTATTAAATTGCTGCGAACAGTGTTGCTGAAATAATTTTCACAAGGATTTCACATGTTATGTTATAAAGATGTGATACATATACATATATATACATCAAAGTCGTGTGAAACATTTACATTAAATTTACTTTTAGTACATATCTATAAAAATATGTACTAAAAGTAAATTTTATATATATATATATATATATATATGTAATAAAAGTAAATTTTAGATGAATGTTACGCACGACATTGATTACATCCGCTTAAGGCCGCTTTATAAGCAAAAGTGTCGCTTACATCGCGTCTGTGTTGCAATAATTGAGTAACTGCAACCTGCTCGCAACCCCTTCCCGCATACCCATTCAAAACTGTGTCACGCCAAAAAGTACGCGACGCCGTTGACTGTCGGCTGCTTATAATTAAGCCTTAATTGAACGTTGCCTTCGTCTTCGTCTTCTCGTCGTCCTTGTCGCCCCTTTCGTCTCTGCCGCCCTGTATTCGTCGCCGTAGCTCACGTAAGCAAGTTAATGATGCAATCGCTTACCAACCTTTGACACGGCATACTGGAGTAATGCCCAAGCGCAAAACACATTTTGCAATCAGGTAAAGTTTTGGGCTCATTTTTCGAGCGCTTAGACTTGGACTTGGCCAGCGATCATCAGCTTGTGCATAATCTGGCACAAGTTCATTAAAACATTTGGCGGGCGGCAGGCAATTCTGCAGCTACCACCGCCTGCAAATTTTATTGTACTAAATATATTTTATTACAACAGTCAAAAACTTGAATATGCAATTTAGTCTGCATATTAACCCGTTGCACGCTGTCCGTTGGCAAAGTTACCTGTTCCCAACTATTTAGCATAACGACGGGCGCTCATTATGAGGCCAACTCCAGCTCCCCGGTCCAGCCCCTTGTGCACTATGTTCATGACAGCAGGCAACTTTATTTGCGCAGTGTATTTGGCTCACCCGACGCTGTCGCTGTTGGAAGTCTGCCCAGAAACTGGACCCGAGCGCAGACCATGCGCCCGGTCGCCAGGCACGTAAAATATGCGCCGCAGTACACGGTCGGTGTATGCTAGAGATCACTTGACTATAAACGAGATTAAAAATTCAATTACGTTGGTGTTGCAAGCTGAACCTGAAGCTGCATCGAGCTCAAAAAAAAAAAAAAAAAACAAGAATGCAAAAAAAAAAAAAATAAAATAAAGTTGACCGAACCAAAAAGACAAGCGCCATGCGAACATAGGGTGCAGGATTCTTGGGCACAGAAGCAGGAGGATGAAGGAGCCGACAGCAGTAGAAGTGGTCAGTGCCGGCGACGTTGTCGCAGCCAACGGAAGTTGACAACAATTTATGTGCCTGAAACGGATACAATTTACAAGCCAGGCGCGGCGTACGTGTAGCTAGAAGGCCTGACTAAGGAAGGACGTGGGAGGGGGCAGGTACCCATGGGTATGTGCGTGTGTGTGTGTGGGTTCGCTGTGCAGGTGTGACCAGCGCAAAACTTCAAACGGAATTTGGAGTGTGAGTACTTAGTGCAAAGTGGCCAGTGCGAGTTTTTCGGCGCACGCAGTTGTTAGGGGCAACACACAACTAGAGGGTGGCGAGAGAGGCAGACTATGAAGAAAAATACGAGCGAAACATTTGAATTTCGATTCTAGCTGAAAATTCCAGTGATTTAGGGCGTGCCTTGGCAGCAGCCAGGAACATCTGTAGCATTGGCAACGTAAATCCAACAAATGCTACACATTAAAACCAAAACATCCTTGTCGACAATTAAGGGAAAGTTTTGATTTGTTAATTTGTATGAATCTGGGGGCCAAACACAAGGACGTCGCATTTCAACAATACAATACATAAGAAAATCAACTTATGCCAATTTAACAATTTGGTTTTTGCTGCTAAATTATTAATAACAGTGATTTCTTAAGCGTACATCTTACAGTTAACAGTGTAGAGAGGTTTGTTGAATAGCCCTGATTTTAAAAGTCTTTAAAATATCTAGGTAAATTATGAGGGGGACATATGTAGAAAAGAAAATATATGGGCGTGTCTTTACACGCTTTGTCATATTAATATTTAAAAAAAAATAAAAACAATATAAATCAACTTTAAAACAGGGTAGATTTGTGCATGTGAATATGTGATTTATATATTTTAATTAAAAGAGAGGACAGTCATAACATGTTTATACAATTTTTACGCGTGGCATAATTTAAACTTATTGTTAACAATATTCAATTGACAGCAAACACTTTAACGTAAGTATTATTAAATTCAACACGATAGATTAATTTACTAATGCCGCTTTTGCTTATCGCGATTCCTCCGCTTGTCACCAAATATCAGAAGCAGAAGCCATCGAATAAACGTTATCAGCAGCCACATAAAAAGTAGAGGTGCAGCCAAAAGAACCGCCAAAGTATCCAAGCTGTGGAGCTGCACATAGCTCATGTCCCGCGAGGGGGCACGCATGTATGAAGCGTCCTTGTGTCGCGTTACATACTCAGTCCACCAAATCGCGCGATCCATCGGCGACTCTGGCTGATCGCGAAACCGCTCAGAGAGAATTGAAGCGGTTTTGGAATAAGTAGGCGTAGTCAAAAGTATATTTATCGTTTTCTCCAGCTCTGGCTGCTTAAGATTAAGCAGATCCAGGCCTAGTCCAAAGCCCATCCTAGCGGCGTGCTTAACATTCATAAACTGATCATAGAAAACGGGCAAACCCAGCACAGGCTTGCCAAAGTAGATACTCTCAATGGTACTCAGCAGGCCGCCGTGTGTGATGAAAAGTTTCACTTTGGGATGCGCTAAGATGTCGGTTTGGGGAAACCATTTGCTGATGAATACATTATCAGGCTTGTCAGGCAGCTGATCATCCTCAAACTTCCAGAGCACGCGTTGCTTGAGTCCTCCAAAAACCATCATAAGCATATTCCGAGTTTCTACGGGTAAATCCTTGCTCTTGACATTAGAGCCCAATGAGAAGTAGATGACACCTTCAGGTGATGCTTCAATAAAATGTTTAACGTCCTCGGGCAAGTCTTTCTGCTTGTGCGTGATATGCAACCCACCCACCTCAATCATGTTGGGCATATAGGGTCTGGCGTAGCTCAGCGTGAAGTGTTGACCGAGCAGCATCAGAGTAAAGCTGTCCAGTGTCTCGGAAAGTGTTTTGTTAGCATGGGGAAAGTATTTCGCATACTGTTGCTCCATCTTGGGATAGTGTATAAATGACTGTACTAATTTCTCCAACCATATCTCCCAGTGGTTCTCCAGACGGTCGTAGAAGTTCATGGGATTTGACCTTGGCGAACTGATGAGCGGATTGTAGGCCTGCGGTGATATGTTGCCCATCAGCTCGTCAATTAAATAGTCGTTACCATAGGTGGACAAGCCCATGAGTGTCGCATTAAAGTGCTGGGCAAATCCAAACAATGACTCCGTGTGCACGACCTCAGCAATGACTAAATCAAATGTTTCACCAGATTTTAGTAGCTGCTGCACGTTCTCATCTGCCAATACGCATTCGGCGATAATTTCCAACATCCAACTGAAATTCTTATGTTTCTGCCAAAAAGAAGGCGTAATCATCGCATTAAGCATGTCTGAAAATAAAATTGATAAAATTATATGATAATGCAATTACACTTATGTATTTTGTTTACCTTCGTAGTAGTCGTGTATTTTGGACGCGGTTATAAATCTCATATTTGGCGCAGGTTCATTTTCGAAGGTATTGATCACAGTCACCTCATGACCCCGCGCTGCCAAGGTCTTCAGATACGACTCGGCAAAGATATACTGAGAGCGGCCCGGAAAGGCAAATATGGCCAATATTTTTGAACCTTCAGTCTGCAGCGCACGATCGATAAGCGTTATCAGAGCCACCAACAGAAGCGTCAACAATCTCATGTTGGACTTGTGGCTCGTTAGATCTCTCGACATGCACTGAGCTCTTGCTTTTGGTGACGCGTGCTTTTAAGGAGACTTTTTTTGTTTCACTCTCAGCTATTCTTGAGCTTTTGCTGATATCTGAACAACAGCATGACTAGCGAAAAAGTAGTGTTTGTCATAGTGATGCCTGATATTTGTTTGCACTCACAAAATTTAGCTCGGAATTATCATTAATATATTTATGAAATAATGGGTATAGCCCGGCTTTGCCCGTGGCGCATATAAAATAAATGTTCTCAAAAAAAAAAGCAAACAAGCAACTTTCATGCAAACTTTTTCCGCCAATTTACTACTGTTGCGGGTGGAATTTCCTAAATCGTAAAAACACGTATTCATTAAGTTTGTATGTATAGCTTTAAAAATAATTTTGAAGCAAATCGAAAAAAAATTAAAACATCAGCAAAAAATCTTTGAATTGCACTTTTTACCGAGGATGCTTTGATTCTGCCAAAAATGTGAAACACGTCTCAAATGATATTTCATATAGATCCTTGAAAATTTATTTGAGCGCACAACGTCATCCACCAAATCTTTGACCCCCATTTCCACCAAGGAGGAATACATTTTTGGAAAAATGTAAAACACCCAACAAATGAATTTGAACAAATAACTTTGAAATCGAGTTAAACAAAAAAGTTTCATACAAACGTTTTTCGCGATTGTTCCATTATTGTGGGTGGAATTTCCCGAAACCCCTTCATTACATAAGGTAACTACATTTCAGCTCCCTAATTCTTACGGCGTGGGCTGTGCGTTAATCACCAATCAGTCAGTCTGTCAGTCAGTCAGGACAAACAGTTTTATATATAAAGTAGAAGATCTATGTGACCTGGCATTAGTTTATAAAGTTTATTATCGACTGCTCTAAAAACTACAATGTAGAAAGTGCATGCCTAACCAGTTGGCTTGAACAATATAGTTGGCTTGAACAATATAGGTAGGTTTAAAATAACATATTTTCGATGTTTACCAATTTTTGGTAACAAAAAAGTTTTGTAGAAATAACTCGTTATATGGAGAGCCCAATCTCTACTGTGAAAATGATCTTGGGTCGTTATCGAAAGTTGCATTATTCTTAAGGGTTTGAGAGAAAATATTCGCCCGTGAGGGGTGTCCGCCTAATAGGTGTACCTGTTGCCAGATTTAGTTTGTTGACTCCGAAAAGAAAAAATATATAAATAACAAATCCGGTCATAGATGTCTCTACCTCATTATCCCCCTTTTTTAAGTATACGGGTAGACTGCATAAAAAAACGACAACGGGTGCTAAATAATAAATATAAACAGTTCTTATCTGAACGGAACCTACCTAAACACATGTCTCATTGCCGCTGCTGCTTATCGCTCCTGGTGTGACCCGCAAACACGATTACAGCCAGCCAGCTGATCTAATCAGAACGAACAAAAAAACATAAAAATGCCAATTAGAGCTTCAAGGGTGGCTAGACTGTCATCTTGTATAAAGCTTAAGTCACGCGAGATTGATTTCATAAATGCGGCTGCGCGATTATAGATTGTGTGTTCCGATTACAAGGTAACTCGATCCACATCCGATTCTGGTTGATCGTGACAGCGTCTTTTTAGTTTCCTTAAGATTCTTTAGGAAAAGACCAATACCTAGGGCCATATTGAGATTCAGTTTCAGCCTTTCTAACTCTTACGGCTTAACTTACCGTTAATTATCAATCAGTCATTAAGGACAGAGTTGTTAATAAAGAGATATACTAGTGATAGCATAAAGAAACATTTTCGAATACAATTGTAGAAATATGCTGTCTTGGTCTTTAAAATGCTCCCTAGTAGCTGTATAAAGTGCTAGGCAAATTCCCCAAAGTTAGTGCGTGAGAAGTGCAGGCCAAACAAGGAAAGGCGGACAGCTAAAAACAAAACACAACAACACAAGCGGGACTAAAGTAAGACAGAGAGACATAGATGCAGAATCATGACAAAAAGCAGTTCAGCAGGCATGCCATCTGGATGTGGGCGATGTCCAGTGGGCGTGCAAGTGCTCAAGCATAAAAACTGTAGAGCCTCGGCGTGGCCTAAGAAAACAAATTATTTGCTTAAGCGACGGTAAATGCACTTGTCCGGGCTTCCTTTTCCGTCAACGCGACCAGGAACCTATAAATATACATGTATATATATATATATACATATATAAGTATACTATGTTTACCTTTTATGCTCGCAAAATTTATAAGTGTATGTCCGGCGGGAAAAATTGTTTCTTTTAATTTATAAATAAGGTCGAGCTGTTGTGGAGCGTTGATGAGACAAACCTCCCGCCGCTCCCCTCTCTTATTCGAGCTGCTGCTATGCGGCTGGTCTATTTGTTTTCACTCAAATTTTATTTGCCTTCTTGCGCACATTTTCACTCCTTTTCACGACTTTTGTAATGGTCGCAGTTTTCCTATTTAAATTAAACCGCGTAAGCGATCCTAACAGCTTGCGTTTGTGTAACGACGCTATAGCGATCAGCTTTTGTCTGTCATGGTCAGCTGCGAATGAGTCAGCCGCTGCTATAAACCGCCTGCGTGCACGTTGGCAGCGCAGCTATCTTCCCTCTAATCCGGGAAAGAAAAAAGCTCTGAGACCCTATATAAGCCTGCAGGTCCCGGATATAACCCTTTTTTTTTTTTCAAAAGTTACTTTACCATCGAAGGTCTGGCTACGGCGGTGCGGACATAGCCCCACCAAAATATTAATCTAAAAGCAACAAGTTCGGGCATCAGTCGTTTAATTCGTTTAATTTAAATTCCAACTAAATTGAACCAAAAACAACAAAAAAAATAAAAAGAAAAACCCTAAAAGTAACCGATTGGCGAAATAAATTTTTTTGTTCATTTGATGATAACCTTTCGCTCCGCCACCCGGCCACCAGCACCTCACCGGCATATATTTCTTTGTGCCAAGATCTGGTCACAGTTTTAACCAGTTCTTGCTTGCCTGCCGAAAGTAATTTTTGGAGGAATAAATCTTGCCGCCGCCGTCTCTGACAGAAAAACCCACTTATTTTGAGGCAGCCGCCACGTGTGCCAATTGGACGGCACTGTAATTTCTTGGGACGGCAATGACATTTCTGCCCCCATTAAATAGACGTCAGCCTCAACGGCGGATCAGCTGCCATACCCTTGCTCATGCCAGCAAGGGCAGGCGCCGTTTCCACAGTTTGGAATCCGGAAGAGGCAGTAGCCTTCTGGGCCCCATTGACGCGCCGCTGATCAGAAGCCCAGATGACATCGCCAATTAAGTTGGCCGGAGCGTGCAGATGCATGAAAATTGCTGTTAAATGTTTTTAGTAAAAAAATTGTTAACTAAATCTTGTGAGAGACTTCCAAAAGTTTGTGAAAAGTGCATTTATTAGGCCCTCAAAAAACCGCGTGCAAGTGCAGTGAAAAAGAAAAATTGACATCTATATACATAGCTTTATATATATAGAAAGGAATACTAGTATAAATCTATCCCCCTTCTTGTAGAGTCCAAAGTCATTTCAGAATTTTTTTTATATTTTTTTTTCCCACTTATTTTCGGAGAGTATCTTCTTAGTACTCACAATTTAAAAACCCTCCTGTGCCATAATAATATAATCAAAACAATTTAAAGCCCCACAGAAGACAAAAGAAAACAAATGAAAAAAAAATAAATAAAATTTGCTGCAAACTCTCCGCTGGAAGGCCTTTCATCGAGGAATACATGTAAGTTTTTAACCTTTTGTTTTGAGTATATTTTCTTATTTTGGCACAGATAAGCACAGCCAAACTGACATGCGCACCTGCTGAGTTTTTTTACTTTCTGTTTCACATTACGCTTTAGCTCCGATCAATATGTTTATGACCGTGTCAGTCTGGTGAATGCTTATCATCTTTGATTCTACCTACACCCCGCTCAATTACTAGCTGAAACAGAAGCAACCTAAAAGAAAAGATTTTTAACAGAATCAAATATATGTACACAAAGATGTATCATCGTATTCACCGATCAGCTGGTTGCGCTGCGCTCCGATTTGCCCATGCGCTTTGAGCTTAACCTTCTGTTGCCCATATTTTTTTCGACCATACAATTAACCATCAACTACAATTGTATTGACTCTATTATAATAACTTTTTTTTTTGCTTTTGCCGAATACACTTTAGTTCAATTTACGAATGTCATTTTTTTCTTACCTAGCTATATTCTATAATTATTAAAATGCACTTTAGCGAAATTTGGAGAGTTTCTTTTTGATCAATAAGAAAAAAAAATATTAACTGAATAGTTTATAAAATGAATTATTTTTGAAGAATCTTTGAGACATTGTAAAAATATTAACGGACTAGTTTTAGTTACTGAATTATTGTTGAATCATTAATGCCACTTGTAATAAGATGCAGATTATCTAACGGAAGGATTCAGTTTCATTGAATAATGCTTTTGTTTATAATAAATATTAATTACGGATTTTGATTATGAATTGCTAAGTTTTCTTTCCTGGTGACATGGTGATATAATGTAGTAGAAGAATGTTTTTTTTGGGATCTTCAAAACCTTAAACGCTGAAGATCATGGTTGGGAGGGTATCGAACGCGAGAGTCAGCTTACATCCAAGACTTCGCCTCTTCGGAATATATATGCCCTAATGAAAGCTATCACCATTGTATTGGCACTTTAAGTGCTCGTTAAGTTATGCCTGTTTGAGATTTTGTTTCTGCGGAGTATCGGTCTCCAATTTAGATTCTGTAGGGATCCTAAAATAAAATTGTGTATGCAGGTCGAGACATGGCAAAAAGAACCCCCCCACCCGAAAGAGCTAGGGAACAAGAGGATCCCGCCCTGCCATGCTAACTCAACCACGAGGGGCCTCGGTGACTACTTCCCGAATTATTTTGTGAAGATTGGCTGCCAACCGCCGTCACCGTTGCTACCCGATATGTATTGCTAGAGTAGCTTCACCACAGTACTTGCTACATAAATTTTTGGCGCCCAAT